CGCTCTTCCAGTACAAAAAGACAGATGGAGTATCTTCTAATCCTGTAGATTTTGATTCTGTAACAAATCTTCCTGTTTACTGAAATCAACATGTTTTTGCAAAATGTTTCAGCCGCAGTGTAACAATGTGTCTTAACAAAGCAACTGTGTTAAAAAGTTTCCAGTCAGTTCTGATCAAAATGTTTCACAGGCAGTAGAACCAAACCTACTAACTAAGTCTCTAAAATAATGCTGACATCCCTGCCATAAATGACTATCTGTGAATAAATGAAATGAAAATACACAGAAAAGCTAATCGGACACTCTTGCATGGAGCTACATTTTTTCCAGTAAAAATGTTATATATTAGATGTATGTGTGGCACATACCTTTGTAACAGAAATAATGTTGCAGCTGATGAGGTTCTGCAGGAAGCAAGAAAATACACAGTACATAGTTAACTTCAGAGTGTGTAGCTTATCTAGATAATATACATAGAAATTCCAACTGAAAAACTGTATCTAGCAAAGCAGTTGCTTTTTCAGCTGCTAAGTTTGCCTCAGATTTTCACTAACTGTGCCTAAAATTTGAGGTACTCAAAGGTAGGTTAGGATTCATTTTTTCTAGCCATGACATTCAAACCCCCCAATTTTATATTCCTCTAATTCTGTGCGCACAGTTTGGCCCAGCCAAGTCTTTGCACATGGCAAAACTTGGAGGCCTGGTGACCAAGTAGTGCCGGCAGCAGCGAATGAAGCCAGATGGCTACAGAGAACAAACTATAAAGTGCCTGGCTGACACTGTTTGGCTCCCAGTGATGGAGGCTGCACCATTTTTTATAGCCTGTCGATGCAGCATAAGCTGCCGTGTAGATACCCTCCTAAGACCAGCAAGCGAACCCAAGTCCTAGTGGCAGCATAGCTGCCATCATATGGCACTGTACCTACGGCAATTAGTCTGGGCAGAGCCCCTCTCTCACATGATTATGTTGCTTCTGGGACCGCAGCTCTGAACGAAGCAGCCTGCTCGGGGATCTCTAATTTGTACCAGATTATGATGTATAGATGCAATAGATCCTGCGACAGGTGCCAGCAAGAAAGACGCTCAGAAAATCTGTTTTTTCCACAACTAATATTGTATAGGTAAACAACAATAAGGCAAAGAGAAACTTGATCAGGTCCTTAATCCTCTAAAACTATTCTACATGTATAATCTACTTCCCAAAAAAGTACACTTCGTTTAAACTGGGCTTATTTTTTTGGTTTTCCACATACTTAAGCAATGGTGTTTCAAAGAAAGGAAGTTCTAATAATATTAATAAGAACCCAACACTTCAGTTGTGGCTGTGACCAGGCTGGACCCCATTACATTACATATGATCAGTGAGCCAGAAAGGCTGCTCTCTCTGCTACATCAGGGCCAATTGCACTCTCTGATCTTTTACTAAGCATCTGCACCAATTTAGCTGAAATCTACCACTCTTTTTCTCTTGCAAGCTATTCTGAACATTAAAAACGAAACAAAACAAACTACGCTCCTTCAGGCCCAGTTCCCACTCAACTGAAAAGTTAAATATGCGCTGATAGTAGTAGGGGCAGAATCTGTCCCTTAAGTGGAATTACAGTTCCTGATTGTTATAGTGCAAGTAGAAAACCACAGAGTAATCCTACCTCATCTATGTCTGGTCCATTAAGGAAACGGCACGGAAGAGGATTATGAAGCATTCCAACATTGTTAACTAATCAAAGGAAACATAATGATAAGAACCACATCTAGACAAAGTACATAGCTCAGCTGGTTAAACAAACAGGTTCTCCTTAAGACTCAAAAGTTTTTAAGCTGCATGTGAAGAGAAATGCCATCTAGCACTGAGTCTTGTTCTTACTGAAGTCATCTGTACTGACTTCAGGGAATGGAAAAACAGTCTGTTTCTACAGTTTGGATTTGAGTTTTTTTGTTTGATTGGGATTTTGTTGTTTGTTTCACCATTGAAAGGATGGTTTTCTTTACCAACAACAACAACAACAAGTTTTCATTGTTCCTATGTGGCTCATACCTATTAGGGTTAGCCACAGGCTCATTTCAGATGATTGAATATAAGAATTGCACACAGCTGTAAAACAATCAATAGTGAAAATGAATTTCCTGAGGCCAGACAGGGGAAGAAGTCACCCCACAAACTGGATGTTGCTTATAAAGTGGCAAAGGAGCTTTCACAGGAAAGAAATCACTGTAGAGGGCAGAAAAATGGGAAGCCCTTGCAGAATCTTAATTCACTTTTAAAACTTGTTCATAACAACTAATGCTCAAATGCACTAGGCATGCTTGGTTTTAGCAGTGTCTGCTAACTATAACAAGTTGTTATGACATGCATCATTTTATACAGTTCTCTGTATAATACGCTGCAGCCACAAAACACCCTTCAGTTAACAGGCTTTAGTGACTCACCCAAAACACCAATTTCCAGGCCTTCAAGACTTTCTTCAATATTCTCATATACTGAATCTTTAGTGAAATCAGCTTGTATAATCTTTACCTTTTGATCTGTGGCCTGCTCTGTAATTAAGAAAAAAGAGAAAATCCCTTTGCATCTACACAGAGGGAGGGAGAACTGCAACTGAGTAATGAGTGAAATAATCAGATATACCATGTAATAATGCCCACTGTAGAATAAGTAACTGTTTCAACTTTCTGGCTTTGAGAAGGATCACAACACAAGTAAAATACTCTCACTGTAACCAGTTGTTTTCAGGGAAATGGCCTGACAAATATGGGATCAATTTATGCCCTGAAATCAATGGAAATTCCCTCACAAAATCTGAACATTTGGTCCTCAAGTAAGAAAAAACAGAAATAAACAATTCAGAACAACTTCACTCGATTATCATAATATTTACAAAAGAGCACTGTCAGCATATGCTAAGACAAGTGAATGTGGGTGCCAGATCTTCTACATAAGCTCAGTTTTGCAGAATTGTTTCAAAGTGTTTTCCTGTACAAGATGATCATTTTAATAAGCAGAGCTTATCTTTTCATGTAGGAGGAAGGGAAAACAGGTGTTGTGATGCAGTATTTTCTGCCTCCTTTTCAAACTACTCCTCTCCTGTTTTTACATTTGCAGTCCTGTAGACTGGACCTTCCCTAGGATTCTGCAGGACTAAAAGGCATTTAAGGGAGGATATAACTTAAATTTTACAAGGTAATTTACACAGAAGGGAAAGGGGAACATGTATGATTTTTCCACTGTCATTGCTATGCCCAGCTGTACATTACCATTTTTATCAGCAGTCAGTTTACTGCTATTCATATTTTCAATGAGGTTTCATGAGAAAAAGTGGAAGAGACTCTTATTTATTCATTTATAAAGGTGAGGCTCTCCTTTAAAGGGGCCCAATGAGGTCTCCTCTAACTAGAGGTTCACACTGTAAATTCTTGCTACTAAACCTGCTTTCAAGTTTTATGGGCAACCTGAAATTCAGATGAAGTTTGCTGAAAAAGCGACAAAGGGAAGCTTGGAAATGTCAATAGACGATCTGAATGCAAACTGGCTGCAAGTGGCAGGAGTTCAGGCGTACACAGATGGCAGAAAGTCTGCCTTTGAGTCCCTCTTGGGAAACTGGCTCTATTTGTTCAGACCTTGATTTTATAGCTAACTTCATACAGGCAGGAAAGCACATTGCCCCAGATGTGAATCAGACACACTGATTTCTATCCAGAAATCTTGCCTCATGTCTCGCTGTGTACATTCAGATTTAGGAAGAGGCCAGTTATTCCTTGTGTCAGCTGCTGCAGGACAGCCAGGCTGGCAGGAAGCCAGCTGTGGCTTCCGGGTCCAGCAGGCCAGTTTGCACCAAAACAGGGCCCGCATTGGAAGATGAGAGGGGCAGATCTCCAAGCTGTTCCCTCCTTGCCGCACAACACGCTGCGAATCTCCACCACCTCATGCTACTCAAGTAACACAAGCAGCCTGAGGAACGGCAGACTCTCTGACTCCAGGTCTGAAAAGTGGGTTGCATCTTATGTGCAATTTTAGAGGACATCTGTCTCCATGACAGGGGCGAGGGGGAAGAAGTTGTGTGTATGAAAGGGATGAAAGGTACCCTTTAAAGCTTCAACCTATAAAAGCAACTCTAGTGGTAAATGATCCCCTAGTGATCCCAGAATGAGAGAATGGTATGACTACAAAGAATAAGGACATTGTGAGCATAAATGCAGGGAAGGAAAAGAACAGAGAAACAGCTGGAGCAGACACCTACAGTGACCTTTGGATTCGAAGAGCTCTATACACAAAATGAGATGGTCTTAAAAAGCGTAGTGATGTTGTGGCCATCTTTCTTGCGGGCAATCAGAAGGGCAGCCAAGACTACAGTAACATAAAAATTAGGATCAAACAAACCATTTGGTCTTCCTCTGTGTCCCCTTGTCTGCACAGAACTGTACTGCTGCAACCAGTGCTGTCAGCCAACAAACAACTACTCCAGATGGCTTTACTCTGTCTCATTTAAGAATGAAACAATACATTAAAAAACAATAAAACTATCATGGTGATAAATGAATTATCCAGGGATAGCTCTTTAGAAAATGATAATAATTCCATAAAGGAGAGAGCCAAAAAAAAACCCTTTCCAATGTTTCTTATGTCTCTCCCTCTCTGTGACATAGATTTATCACAGCCTTTGAAGACACAAGCCATTCCAACCTTTTAAAAAAGTCCTAAGTGTGCCAAAAGCAAAGGGCCTAGGTTTTCAAACATGAGCACAGGTTATACACTTCTTTTTAGTGAAGGGAAGATTAATCTAATGAAAATTTAAAACTGGAATTGAGGTGTTTAATCTGATGTGTTATAAAATGCATCATTAAGAAGGATACATCTAACTCCTGACCTCAGACCACTTGGGAATCTTGCTTGTCAGATAGGATAATATGCTGCCTTTTAAAATTTACCAAGAAGAAAATAAATCAGGCTGAAGCACGAAGTTGGTTAGAATATACACTCTGCCAGAAACTCTCCCTTTAGGCTTAGAGAGTTATGAAGATCATCTGAAAACTTGAGGTAGCAAAATAATGAATGCCTGAGTGGCACAAGAACTGATCTTTGTAGGAATAAGAGACCCTTTTGAAGTAACTATAGCAGAATTTGAATATGAAGAGAAAAGCACTCAGACTAAGATGGCATTCATATTCAGAGGAAATTTGCAGAGAGCAGAGCAAAATAAGAAGCTAAGTTATTTTAACAACAAAAAGGTAAAACAAGATTTAAGATTGCAGATACATGCAAAAAGTTCTATGATATTATAAAGCACAAGTTCTGGCTATACTTTGAAAAGCTTTTTGAGAACTATATCCCCTTATAAATATAGAGTAAAAACATTTCAGAAACGACAGGAAAATAGAGAAGAACTAAAAGAAAGAGGGTAAAAACATAAAAAGATGATAGAAAATGCCAGATAACACAAACTCAGTGAGAAAAAAACACAGGAAATACTATTAATCACTAGAGCACTCACAAACATTGGTCAAGGCACTAAACCACTTCGTTCTGTAGTTGTGCATATTGGAAAAACAGCCCTGAGCAATAATGCCTCACTGACAGGCATCAGCAATACATGATAGGTACAATTTAACAATAGGTAATTTAAAAACCTTTGAGGGAGAAGTGTTAGAGAAGGACTGTTCCACAACATACATGAGGTTACAGGACAGGGGGAACGATGCCTCAGTAAGCCACTATTGTTGACGATTGGAAACAAAGGTGTGTGGGGAAGATTTGTATTAGCTGAGGGCTCCCCGTGTGTCTATTAAGAAAGAGATCTCCTGCAAGCCTTAGATGTAGAACTACACCTATCCCCCGAGGGAATGGATTTGACCATCATGGGGGTAAGTGTAGTTATTGAAAGTCTGGATACTGAATTAGAGATACCAGAAGCATTAAAATCCGTGCCAGAAAAATTGTGGAGCAGAACTAGTACTGATGTGGGACTGCTAGTCTCGGCTCAATCAGTGAATATAAAAACAAAGGGAGGAACTCCTCCAGCCATGAAGCAATATCCAATTCCCCAAGAGGCCGATAAAAGTATGCAAAAACAGATAGATCGATACTTAGCTCAAGGGATTTTAAAATCATGTATATCCCCATGTAACACCCCCATACTCCCTGTAAAGAAAAATAGGCTCGATCAGGATAGGGATCCAGAATATCATTTTGTACAAGATTTGAGAGCGATTAATCAGCATGTCATTGCTCCACACTCAGTAGTACCTGACCCTTCCACTATACTTCTGCAGATACCCCATTGGGCAAAATGTTTTACTGTGATTGATTCAACTGCAGCATTCTTCAGCATTCCAATAGATGAGGAAAGTCGACCTTTGCTTGCTTTTACATGGAAGGGACAGCAAATGACATGGACACGTCTCCTGCAGGGGTTTACAGGGTCCTCAATCATCTTTTCATGAATATTAAAGGAAGACCTGAAAGATATAGAATTACCAGGTGGATCGGCTCTAATACAATATGTAGATGAACTCCTGATAGCAAGTAAAGATGAGAATACTTGCTTGAAAGATACTGTACATTTATGTATTGCTTTAGCAGAGAAAGGTCACCAAGCTTCTCCATCCAAACTCCAGCTGTGTCAAAAAGGAGGTAAAATATTTGGGTTTTATTTTGAAAAAGGGGCAGCGGGAGATAGACCCAGGGAGAGTAGAAGCTGTAGTGAAGCTCCCTCGCCCTGTTATGAAGAAACAGTTATGGGGGTTTCTAGGCGCAGTAGGGTTTTGTCGACTGTGGATAACGGGATTAGGAGAATTAACCAAACCTCTAAAGGAAGCTACGAAAAATGAAGAGGTGGCGCCCATTGCACGGGGCCCTGAGTGAGAGAAAGCTTTCAGAGCGATAAAAGGAGCCGTAGTCTCTGCTCCAGCTCTTGGACTCCCAGACTATACAAAGCCTTTTAATTTGTATGTACACGAACGGAAGGAAGTAGCTAGTGGAGTATTAATGCAGAAATTAGGTCCCCACCAAAGGCCAGTAGCATACTATTCTGCACAGTTAGATCCAGTTGCAGCGGGAGCACCTGCATGCATTAAGTCAGTAGCGATGGCCGCAACAATACTAGAGAAAAGTCGCCCTCTTATACTAGGGCATCCTGTCACAATCCATGTGCCACATGAAGTGGAAATACTGTTGAGACAGTATGCAACTCAAACATTATCCCCACAGCGGGCACATAGGTATGAACTAATTCTCTTAACAGCAGATAATGTACTCCTAAAAAGGTGCAATACTTTGACTCCTGCAACTTTGCTACCATTACCTGATGACAGGGAAGAGCACCACCAGTGCAAACAGGGGATGCATACTTCAAGCAAGCCCCGAGTGGATTTAACTGATGTTCCCTTACAGAATCCAGACTTGATCCTGTTTGTAGATGGTTCATCCTGTTACCTACATGGACGACGGCAGACTGGGTATGCCGTGGTCAGCCAAGGGCAAGTAATAGAAGCTGAATCGCTTCTGGTAAGGATGAGTGCACAAGGGGCTGAATTAATAGCCTTGACACGCGCAGCTTGCCTAGCGAAAGGAAAGCGAGTTAACATCTATACGGACTCTCGATATGCCTTTGGAATATGTCACGCAGTAGGAATGCTGTGGAAGGAACGAGGATTCCTCACATCATCAGAAAAAGTGTGTTGAACAGGGGAGAGAGAACATGATTTATTATCCTCAGGACAGGTAGAAAGGATGAATGGGACTTTGACAGAAAATTAGCAAAAATCTGTGTACATATGGGGCTAAATTGGCCAGAAGCCCTACATTTAGCTCTATGAGATGTTTGGAATGCTCTGTGGCAACCCATAGGGACAACACCTGCAGAAATTATTTTGGGAGACATTTAACTATACCGGGAACCTATATTCCTGCCAAGATCAGCCTATTGGATGGAGATGAGCAGTTGACTCAGTATGTACTGGCTATGCAAAAAAGATTTGAAACCTTTAGAAAACAAGCCCGGTGGTACCAACTCACTCCACCAAAAATATGGGTGCATGATATATTACCTGGAGACAAGGTTTTGATTTAAGTGTTTTCACGAAAGTCTAAATTAGAACCAAAGCAGGAGGGACCATATACTGTTTTATTATGTTCTTACTTTGCTGTTTCAGGGAAGAAAACTGGATACACCATTCGCATGTCAAGTGGGTCGCGAACAACTATCCACCAGATAAGTAATCCATCCCATGAGATGGCTGGGCATATGCTTACGTGCTGATGATGTTACTTACCTTAACCCATTATAGAGAATCAACAAATTTTTACTTATGACCCTATCAGTAATAAAGCCGCAGCTTTTGTCCTAACAATACGCAATGCTTCTGTATATACTATATACCCTATCATTGCGCCGGGATTGAATCACAATGGACCTATACTCTATCCGATAGAACATAGAGTGTAGGCCCTAAATAATGGAAACAAATGGCAAACGGTCGATGTTAGCGCATGCGTCATGCGAGAGCAACAGGGATTTCTCTGTGAGAGTAATACTATCAAGGCCCAGGACATTTGTCTTGATACTGAACAAAATGTCTGTCATTTTGAAATACCTCCCGATGAAACTCCTGAAACTGTACTTGTATATCTTGGAAAAGGATGTGTTTGTATGAGAACCCGTTGTGATTTTGTATCTGTAGATAATATTAATATAAGTGCAAGTAATCACTCGAATATTTGCATCTGTAACTTTACTGAAATCCTAGGATGTGATTTTAATTACTCAGCTCCTGTTATATCTCAGCAGCTGTTGCAGTCCAATTACACACTAATTCAAAATCTATTGCCTACCCCTATCGGGATGAATCTCACTTTAGTGAGAGAATTGCTGCAACATGACAATTTGTATCAATTGCTGAAACGCATCCAAGATAACGGAAAAAAAAAACTTTAACTACTGTTTATCACGATACAGAAGAACTACACCAGGTTTTAGAAAGAGTAAGGAAGGATGGAGACCATCAATGGTGGGAAACCCTTCTGGGATGGTCACCAACAGCGACAGGAATTTTTAATCGCATACTCCATCCAGTCATAATCTTACTAGCCCTAACACTGCTGCGCTTGTTACTTGTCGTCATCTTATATGTAAGATTATGACACCTGATAAAACAATTAATTGAAGTAGAAGTGTTTAAATCATATAAATTGATACGCTAGATCACTGCCTGATTAGCAGAAGCATATAAAACATTATATATAGATTATTGATTTTTGCATAACTTAAAAGGCTTTATCATAACTTAGTATATATAAATACTGTGCTTCAGTTAAATCATTCATGCATGTATCTAGCAGGAAT